TAGGGCCGAACTCGCGATAAGGGCAAAGGCATCAAACAAGCCTCAAAACTCATGCCCGACCAGACCGAAAGCTTGGAAGATATCTGTAGGCCTCAAGCCCATCCGGCCCACTCTTGCGGGCAAGAGCCTTGAATCTTCAGGGCTTATGAAAGGCCCTTTCCCATCTTATTCGGGCAAGGACTGCACCGACAGCGGAAATTGGTATTACGAGTGGGACGCCCACAAGAAGCATCTCTGTTGCGCAGCTGGCCTGCAGATAATCTAACGGTTTGAACAAGTAGTAACAGTATTCCGAATTCCTCAGGGTTCCTTATGCTAACTATACGGTAAATACCGCAAAACCTTGGTCTATTGATTAGATGATTGATGATTAGAACCTTTGCACTACGGGAGCTTTAGCAACTAAAGATCGCACAAGCCTTAAATCATACATCCTAATTGTCACAAGGAATGAAAAAGCCAATAGAAGCTCAATTAGTAGGATCCCGATGATGCCGTCCTTAACCGCCACCGCCCGGATCCCAAGCCCCAAACCCGACAAAAGCTCCAGTCTGAGTCCCAGCCAGAGAAATCCAGCTTTGTGGACAGGAGTAACTCATCTTCCCAGGGATTTTGAGACCAAATTCAGCATACATACCAGAAGACGAGCGTGTAGGAATCATATGTGGGATTTTAGGGCGCAGTCCATTGGAGTACGATACCACGCTAAACCCTAAATCTTATCATGATTCAGAAGTCCGAAACCAACCTGCCGTAGACCCTGAATCTGAACCTCAAATCCCCAAACGCCCAACTCCTCAACCCTGAATCCTTGAACCCCAAATCCTCCTCAGTGACCCTTTCAGACTCAAATCAAAAACCATCTAGCGCTATTGCAAAAAGCTAGAGACCTTAAACTCTGTAGGGCCCTTCAGCGACTTTGAGCCTTTCACAACACAACCTAAACCCACGAACTCTTAACCCCGAACCCTGAGTTCTAACCCCGAAAGCCTTTAGAACGTGTCAAACCCTAATCAACCCGTCAACAAAATCCTAACCCGAAGCCCCAGACCAAATCCCTGGACCCTAACGTGAAAATCCAGAAACCCTTAACACCAAGTGCCAAGACTTTCCCCCCTAAACCCTGAAAACCACATGGCACTCGAAACGAAAAGTACCTTTAACACCCTCAGCCCGATAAACCCACGAAGCCCTGAATGATAGAACGCCGTAACACCCCCTAACCCTAAACCCTAGGCCCTAAACCCTAAGCCCTAAATCCTAAACCCTAAACCTTAAGCCCTAAACCCTAAACCCTAAACCTTAAACACCCAAATGCATGACTGGTTCTTCAAAGCCCAAGCCCTTCTGAAGCCCCAAAATATGCCTAAAGCCTTATTATGGGCCCTTAATGCCTTGAAGAAAACAGCAACCCTTATGGAAGCCCTACAACGGCCTGTATAGAAACCCTTCCAGGACATTATGCAAACCCTAAGCCGTAAACCTGGAAACCTTAATCCTCAAAGCCTGAACACTCGAAGCCCTAGACCCCTACATCCCCGAAACCCCTAATCCCTAAACCCTAAACCTCAAACCCGTAAGCCTTAAACCCTAAACCCCTCTTTCAAACTCCGCCCAGTCCGCCGTCCATGTGGGCTGCCCTGGCACTTGGCGGGGCCCAGAGGCTGACGATTAGTGCTTTCTAGAAATAAGGTTTTTGGGATTCCTTTTAAACGGTACTATAGGGGTTCCTTTAAGGGATCTATAGGGTCTAGTGGCTTTGGGGTTGAGGGTTTAAAGATTAAGCGGTTTCGGATTAGGGTTTAGGGGTTTAGCGTTCAGGGGTTTAGGCTTAGGGTGTGGGATTCAGCGGTTTAGGTAACCATTTAGGGTTCCATAAGGGACCTCTGTGCTTAGTCCTTACAGTCTACCCGAATAATGAAGGGGCTGAAGGTTTTCCGCTGCAGGGTCTTCGAGTCCAGTCCATCCAATGTTTGACTTGGTTAAGGGCTCATCACCTACTTCTCGTGTTGGTTTAGTGTTTTTTGGTTAAGGGTTCATCACCTTCTTCTTTTGCTGGGTTTCGGCTACAAGCAATCCTTTTACAGGGAGGGTGGTTTACGAATCAAGTGTGTCGAATATCAGGGTCGGAACAATTGGCAATAGTACCCTTTTAGTACGGACCATACTTACAGAGTCTAACTAGACCCCTTAAGCCCCAAACCCTACACCCTAACTCCTAAATTCTAAACCCTAAACCCGAAAGGCCCCAGGCAGTTCTATTAGAGCTGGGGATTCTCTCGGAGAAGCTGGTTTTGTGGATTCCACAAGTTTTGGATCCACATGGTTGTCTGAAGATAAACAGTCCTACACCCTAAGGTCTAAAACCCGCAAGCCCTAAACCCTCGAGGCACAACGCTGTTGATATAGGAGCCTTCATGATACTTGGAGCAGGGTTTGCAGGGCAGATTGTCGACCTCCCAGGGGGGAATTCAAACCTTCATATTGGACCCTAAGCCCTAAACCCTAAAGCCCCAAGTTTTCGGGAGGACCATTGGATGGACTCTGACACAATCCATGGCGCCATGACCTTGGAGTTCTCTGGGTTACGTGGTTTAGGGCTGAGGGACTAAGTAGTGATTTATAGAATCGAGCTTGAAACGGCCGCGACTTCCTCTCAAGCTGAAAAGGTGCCGTCCCCTCCCGCATGGACCTCGCGCTTTCCGCTGCTCGCTTGCTTCACCAAGGTGCTAGCACACAGCTCTGGGGACTGGCTTGTCCATTTTACTGTTCGGGTTCCAGCCTGGGCAGCCACCTTTCCTGCCTCTTGCTGGGGCTCATAGCTGGAGCTGCTCTGGGGGCCTGGCTGGCTTATACTCTTCTTCTCTCGCGAGAGGATCGTGCACCCGCGCGACCGCGGGAAACTGAGGTGCCTGCTGAGGTACTTCTTGCCCGAAGGCGGGCCCGGCTGAGCACATACGTGTATGAGTGAGGGCGATCCTCCGGCTTGGGATCTTTCGCTGGAAATCGAGGGGCTCTCCCTTAGGCTTCGGGGTCTTAGGCTAAGCCCTTCTTCCCACGAGCCTGCCGGCCGAACTGATTCCCCTAGGTCCTCTCTTTCGGGTTTTTCGGTAGTCTCCCCAGGGCCTTCAGGTTACCCTAAGTCCTCAACCCGTGTTCCGCCTGAGCATCTTTGCAGCTCGGCGGCCCAGCACAGCCAGCCTGCCCAGCCCATCAGTCTGCAAGGCACTCCTCCTCGCCTCCCAGGCCGTTCTTCGGCTTCCGCTGCATCTTCTTCCTCGACCTCGGTCGTGCCTGAGTATCCCTTGCAGAGCCCCGGGGCTCAGCGGTTCGCGCTTCGTCGGCGCATCGCTCTTTCTTTTCCTGCCATCCCCGACTCCTGCCTTGCATTGTGTCGTGGACTTTCGGCCTCGGATTTGGGCCCAGTGGAACGTGCGGAGAGAGCTTGGATTGCTGGGTGCTGGGCCCAAGCCGTTCTTGCGGGCCAGGTTGATCGCCCGGACCCCAGCCCTGCTTTGAGCCTCCCATCGAGGTTCTACTGCATCTTGAGGGCAGAGGGACTCTCTGCTCCGGTGGTGTGCTCCTCTCTGACTGCCTTCCGAAGGGTGGTCGGGCCTTCTTTGGGCTCTTCGGTGACCCACGGGTTCCCTTCTTCCTCTGAGGCAAGGGTGTACTTCTCCGGGGCTCGCCTCCCCTACCCTTCTTCCCTCATCCGCTGATGGACCAGATCGTCGCCTACGAGACAGGCTCCGTTGAGATCGTCGAGTTTGCCTGGCCCCCGCCTTCTGAGGATAGGGCCTCTGCAACATGCGTCGCCTACTGTATTATGAAGCGGCCCTCTGGATTCTTGCTTTGCATTCCGGAGGGTTTTCTGTCCCAGGGAGATCTGGATGCAGGGCTGCTGCTTGCGGAGGAGGAGGGGATCGGCCCTTCTCTGTCGATCCGGGTCGCCCCCGTGATGCTCACCGAGAGCGGCGACTGGGAGGCCGTGACGGACCCAGAAACCATCCCGGCCGTCGTGGTGGACCTGTCGGCGCACCTGGCCGATCAAGTGAGCATAGCCGACTTGAGCCAGCCCGATCTGGTTCCTTTCCTCCCGGGGCAGGTGATGATGTTTCCTCGTGCCTCGGAGGTGCTGCGAAAGGCAAAGGAGTGGCTGTCGTCGACAGGTGTTTTCCCGGACGACCGGGCTGGATACCATACCGCCTTGTCAGGTCAAGATGCTCCCGCGGCGGCGGCTCAGAGGGAGAGGCAGGCAAAGGCAAAGAAGCCGACTGTGGCTCAGCTTGCCGCCCAGCAGGCAAAGATGATGGAGCTTATGGCCTCAGTTGTCTCCCGGCTGGATGCAATGTCCCCAGCCGAGGCGGCCCCTGCACAGATTGCCCCGGCAGCAGCCGCTGCCCCTGCAACAGAGCTTCCGGCAGCCCGTGCTGTCCTGCGCCAGCCCGTTTCGAGTGTGCTGCCTCCTTTCCAGACGACTCCCAAGCAACTGGCTTCGACTTTGGGCCCTCCTCCCCCCGTGCGTGCTCAGCCCCTGGCTGCCGAGCAGCAACTGGACAAAGAGGAGCTGGCAAACGCAGCAATGGGAGTCGGCGAAATCCCCGGCGCGCCTGGGTCGGGCTCGCTTGCCTAGGCCTTAGTAGCGTTGGTCAGCCAGATGTCGTCGAGTTCCGGGGATCCCCTTCTCGAGGCGCCCGCCGGCCAGGCTTCTTCTGTGAGAGGCTCTCTGGGTCGGGCCCGTTTGCAGGAGGAGCTCGCCGCCAGAACGGGCGGTTTTGCCTCGAAGGTGAAAGCAAACATGGCACGCCGGATGGACCCCACAGGATTGCTGGCGGAGGATCAGATCAGCTACATGCGCTTCCTGGAGAGGCATGGTGGATTCTCTTCCCACCACCTCCTGGGCTTGATTGCCTGGCAAGTGTCCCAGTCGCTGGACTTGTTGAGCATTGGCTCGGTTTCGGGGGCCCAGGACACTTTAAGCCTGCTTCTTGTGATGCTGCACCAGGTCGCGCTCGACAAAGGCAACAGCACTTTGGGGTGGCTTCTTACGCTTCAGGCCGAGCCGCCCGCCGGGCTCTTCTCTCAGCAAGCTTCGCTTCCTGGAAGCAGCCTGCAGACTTTCACCCCGCTAGCGGAGCAGCGCTGGGTGACAACGGCGCTAGCTTTCACAAAGGAGCTGGAGACCATCTCCGGGAGAATTTCGGAAGGAACTACCAAAGCGACTCAGGAGAGGCCGGCTCCGAAACCTCCCAGCGTTCCGGCTCCCGTGCTGGACACTGCAGAGACCCAGCTCAGTCGAAAGCAGCAAAGGGCAGCCCAGTGGGCCGCCAGAAAAGCCGCGCAGGCGGCGCCGAAAAAGTGAAAAGGCCTGCGGGCCCACGCACCTTGCACCACGAGCCAGCTTCTGCTAAGCAAGCCCCCGGCCACGTCGCCCATTGCCTTGAAGGTGGTGGGTGTCGGTCTTCCCCGGCTGGTGGTTCTTGTCAGGCTGCGGCTGCGCCACTTGTTCCACCTTTTGAAAAGGCTCCTGATGGTGAGGATGCTTCCGCCCATGCTGTGAGGTCGGGCGATGATTTCCCTCTCTCCGGTCAGGATGCCTCGGAGGATGCTGGTTTTAGCTTTGGCTCCTGGGTAGCGACCTTGCCTCGTTTGATTGGGCAGGGAAAGACTCAGTTTGCCAGGTACCTCCTTGCCACTTTGCCTTTGCGAAGGGAAGGTTCTCTCACTTCCTCTGCCGCTCTTTTCCCGCTGCCTCTTAAGTTTGAGGGGGCCTTCTACCAGCGGTCCTGCAGAGACGCTGCGGCTTCTCGCCGCCTGGCTGTTGCCCGGTGTACCCACTTGGTTGCCATCACTTTGAACTACATCCACGCGGGCTGCCGTCCTGTTCCCTTGCGTTCTTTGCAGAGGCCCCTCTCCTCTCTTCAGGACCAGGTCTATGAGAGGTTGAGAGGGCTTGTTCGAGCGTGTGCCCGCCAGGCTGACTTTGTTCCTGCCTGTGCTGGGCGTCGCGGCCTGCACTTGGCCGCCCGTCTTTCTGAGGTGTTGGCTTTTGTTAAGGAGAATGGCCTGGAGGCCGGCCCCTACGCTTCTCCTTCCGTCCCGCCTGAGGGGACGAGTTTCCTTCCTCATGCTCCTTCCGAAAGTGAGGCCCTGCAGCCCTACAGGAGCATCCGAGCCGACCAAGTTGTTTTGCACGGCCGTGGGCTTTGGCCTCTCGAGGAACACCTCGGGGCTGACCTCTTTCTTCCTTACGTTGAGCCTGAGGCGATACGATGGTGCGGCCCTCCCGCTCCTGCGCCTTCCTTTGCCAATGAGGGAGGGGGTGAGCTGCTGAAGCTGTGCAAGATATGGGACGCAGCAGGCTTGTTGGGACTCACGCCGGCGCCACTCCCGCCTCGTCTTCTCACTCGGGTTTTTGGGGCATACAAGGGCCCATCTCAACAGAGGCAGATAGGAGACAGGCGCGGGATTAACGCGCTGGAGCGCCGACTCAGAGGGCCTTCTTCGAGAATGCCCACGGGCCCCCTTCTGTGCCGGCTGCATGTGCCTTTGGGTTCCTGCCTCTGCGGTTCTGTGACAGACCGGCGGGACTTCTATACCCAGGCGAAGGTGTCCCGGGAGAGATCTCTCACGAATGCGTGCGGGCCTTCATTGCCTCTTGCTGCCTTGCTTGAAACCGCCGCTGCGAAGGAGCTTCTTGCCCGAGGCCAACATGATGTCGTTGATCCCAACCTGTATGCAGGGGCTTTGGATTTCCCACGCCCTCCTCTGCTTGTTGACTGCCGCCAACGCGTGCACCCCACCTTCAAGGCTTTGTTCCAAGGTGATGCAGGGGGCGTAGAGTACGCTACTTCGGCCCACGAAGGGTTGTTGCAGGCCTATGGGTGCTTGCTAGGCACTGGTCGACTCGAGAGCAGAAGCCGAGTAGCCCGTGAGGGACCCTGGCAGGGTCTGATAATAGACGATTTCTTCGCCCTTGCCGTCGAGGACGGGTCTCTTGTGCCGGGTGGGCCCTCCGCTTCCTCTGTGTTGATCGATCGGGCTAAGGTCGGCTACTCTGCTGAGCAGGTTTTGGGATCGGACAACAAGGAGGTAAGGAGCCAACGTCTCCTCTCGGTCGCCGGGGCGCAACTGGACTCGACCCCTGCTACCGTTGCCGAAGTCGGGACACTGTGCGGCTACCCTGTGCAAAAGCGCCTTGCTCTAGCCGCTGCCTCTGTCCGTGCGGCGCAGTGCCCGGTGCTCTCCGAGGAACTCGTCTCGTGCCTCACCGGTTGCTGGGTCTCCTGCCTTCTTTACAGACGGTGCTTCATGTCGGTTCTCGACAAAATCTTTGCCTTAGGGCGTGCCTCTGCTTGCGAGGGAACCGATGGCTCGAACCTCCGTGAGCTGCCCAGACGCACCGCCGGTGAGCTTCAGGTTCTAGCCGTGATCGCTCCGCTTGTTGTCAGCAACCTCTCGGCCGAGCCAGACGATCGCGTCTATGCCTCTGATGCCTCGAACCTCCGTGGTGCCTTCTGCTCCTGCGAGCTTCCTGCCGCAAGCTCTCTTGAGATTTGGC